AAAAAGAGCCCTGGTAGACATCCTCCTTACCTCTAAAGCCAGGGGCAAACATAGCAGACCCCGGATACATAAACAGGACAGAGTGAAAGATCTACTTCATACTGTTGCAAAAGGGGGCTTTGGAAAAGGACCCCCCCCCCCCTGGTTTCCTGAAACTGCGGAGATCGAGCCAAATTGGGCCTCTCTCCAGACAAAGCCTTGTAACTGAAGCTCCAGATGACACGATCATCATCCAACCAGGGGAGGGGGGCGGGTCAGCAATTTTACTGTTAGACGTAGTGGTGATAGCAAAAGAGACCCTGGCATGTGAAGACAGGTGAGTTTTTATACTGTTCTCACTCTGTTGCCAGTTTGGTGTAGTGGTTAAGAGCGCGGACTCTAATCTGGGAGAACCGGGTTTGATTCCCCACTCCTCCACATGCACCTGCTGAATGACCTTGGGCAAGCCATAGTTGTGTCAGCTGTTCTCTCAGGAGCAGTTCTCAGAGAGCTCTCTCAGCTCCACTTCCCTCACAGGGTGCCTCTTGTGGGGAGGGGAAGGGAGTTTGTAAGCCGCTCTGAGATTCTTTTGGGTAGTGAAGGGCGGGGTATAAATCCAATCTCTTCTTCTTCTTCTGCTTCTTAGCATCTTGCCCAGTATTATGCAGTGGAAACGGGCAGTACATGAAGGGCCGGTGCTTGTGCCACAGCGGGTGGAAGGGAGCTGAGTGCGACGTCCCGACCAACCAGTGCATCGACGTCTCGTGCAACAACCACGGCACCTGCATCATGGGGACCTGCATCTGCAATCCAGGCTACAAGGGAGAGAGCTGCGAAGAAGGTATTTTCTGTCTTCATTCCTTTGGCCCTTACTCTGTGGGTCTCTTTTCTTCCCTATGGCAGAGAAACAGGAGTGTATCTTGGTGCCACCTTGGATGGGTGAACGTGTGACGCTGCCTTATACAGAGTCACAAAGTTCCGTTTCTACATTAGAAGTGTATTATTGTATTTCTTGTTATGCTATCACAATCTTGCAACCGCTTCCAAATTTGTTAGGTATATTCCATAAATCTACATAAACACACAAGCGGCAAGCAAAATACTCTCCACCACTGCCACCCTATCTATACCACTGCCACCACTGTTTAACAAGACTGTTGCAAGGTCGTGATGTCATAATAAGAAATACAGTAATACACTTTTAACGTAAAAATTGATCTTTATTGTATATTAATTGAGGCGAAGGACTTATACACGGTATTCATCTTGTGGTTTCTACTTTCTATACTGTGTCCCTTTATTTTTGTTTATGCAGAATCACAGCATTGGTACATCACAGTCAATATTATCTGGTCTGGCTGGCAGTGGCTCTCCAGGGTCTCAGGCAGAGGTCTCTCAGTTCACCTACTGCTTGATTCCTTTAACTGGGGAGACCGGGGATTGAACCAGGGACCATCTGCATGCCAAGCAGAGGCTCTGCCACACGACCCCTCTCCATACCTCTCCAGGGTCTCGGGCTGAGGTTTTTTACATCACTTACTGCCTGGTCCTTTTAAGTGGAGATGCCAGGGATTGAACCTGGGACCTTCTGCATGCCAAGCAGAGGCTCTCCCACTAAGCCACAGCCCCTGACTAAGTCTCTCCAGGGTTTCAGGCTGAGGTCTTTCACATCACCTACTGCCTGGTCCTTTCAACTGGAGATGCCGGGGATTGAACCTGGGACCTTCTGGATACCAAAGCAGGTGCTCTACCACTGAGCCACAGCCCATCTCCATGGCCCTCCAGGCAGAGGTCTTTCACATCACCTCCTGTCTCATCCTTTTAGCTGGAGATGCTAGGCATGGAACTTGGGACCTTCCGCATGTCAAGAAGATGTTCTACCACTGACCCATGGTCCCTTCCTTTCACATCAGATGAGTCTGAAACAAACCAAAACAACCCTTCTAATTCCTCCAAGATGCTGGTTGTCTTTTATTGGTGTGTCTGTAAATGCCCTTGAGGTGCTGCTGAGGTGAAAACCATAGGGTTTTCAAGGCAAACGATTAGGCAGAGGTGGTTGGCCATTGCATTTCGCTGCAAATTCTTCGTTAACCGTCTCCCACCCAAGTACTTACTGACTCTGCTTAGCTTCCGAGAGCTGATGTGACTGGGCTGTGCCAGGCCATTCCACACCCCTGTCTTTTATACACGCGTCGTATTTTAAGTGAAAAGCTTTCAGGTGTTGCGGTAGGCAGAGCCGCTCAAAGATCTGGAGCATATATAATCACATACTCGAAATGTTCTTTTTAGAACATCTCCCCGGTTCGTAGAGTGAAACGGTGAAACGTATAATTTCCCCCCCACCCTCCACAGCCACGTGACTTGCAGATGCCAACTTTTGTAAAGTCACAGAAAAGGGGTGCTGCTGTTTTTTTTCATTGGCACCTGAAACTCGGCAGTATCCAGGGCCACGGGTTTCACGCCGCTTCAGAATCGAGTATCTTTTCAAGAGCCCCTGCGCAGATCGCTTTCAGGCTGTTCTAAGCCTGTAATGAAAACGTCGCTGCCTTTCTCCTTAATTTGCATTCATTTCTGTGCCTTTTCATTACTCCGTTTCGTTCTTCCTTTATGCGCATGTAAGACGGAACCCATGTGACTGTTAGGGGTGTATATGAATGGGGCCAGGGCTCTTTTTGTAGATAAAGCCCAGCAGGAACTCATTAGCATAATAGGCCACACCCAACAGCAGAAACTCATTAGCCTATTAGGCCATACCCCTGACAGCACAGCTCATTAGCACATTAGGCCGCACCCCCATGTTACCAGAAGTGTGGTTATCCAGCCACACCCACCTTTTCTTGTTATTCTGTTTACCTTGTTTGTTGTCAAAACCCAGGACTTTTTTGTAACAGGAACTCCTTTGCATGTCAGGCCACACACCTCTAATGTAGCCAATCCTAAAGAGTTCCTGCTGTTGGGTGCGGCCTATTATGCTAATGAGTTCCTGCTGGGCGTGGCCAACTTGGGAGCCAGCCGGAACTCCGTTCCTGTGCGTTCCTGCCCAAAAACAGCCCTGTGGATGGCTGTTTTAAATGCATACTTTTCTATGTAGAGAAGCAATGCATAAGATACCACTCAGTGCAATGGCAGCAGATGCATGGGTCTCTGTTAGGAACTTACTCATGAATTAGCTTATTTGGAAGCTATGGACAGGGAAGGCACCAAGCCAAGGACACAGAGTTGCTGCTGAAAATGGCAGTCCCGTGTCGTCCCCCTCCAACCACGCTCTCCATCCAATAACATCGGGTACAATTAGGCTTGCCAAGTCCCCCCAGGGGGCAGGGAAACCCCCGCCCCAGAGGCCCGTTTCCCGCCGCCAGCAGATTGGGCCCCGGGGGGAACCCCACCCCAACATGCACGTCACCCGGAAGTGACGCGACCACGCCGGGCACGCTGGGGGTGGGGCCACGGTCATCCGAGGGAAAATTCTATGGTCCCCTGCTGTGGCAAAGGTCGAACTTGCCAACCCTAGGTACAATTAAGATGTGGGGGAGGGAAGGTTCTGCCTCTACCAGTGGCACCCAGCGATGTGGAGCTGTGGCAGGGAGATGCTGTAATGACATCAGGACAGAGGTCAAGTTGATCTTATGGAGGACCACTTGACACGGGATAGTCTTTTCAGCAGCAGCCGAATCTTTTCTTCTTCCCTCCCGCCCTATCTCCCGCCCTCCCTCTCTCTCTAAATGACATCACACCAGCCAGAACATACCTACCAATTCAGACCGCATAGGCTTTTCACTGATCAAAAATTATATGAGCTTGAACTCTAAGGAGTCAAACAAAATCAGATGCAAATAATCGATCCGTTCCACGTTCTCGGTCCCTTCTGCCCGTCGTTCCAAAAACTTAAGGGCAATGTGCAGACTCTTAATACGGACAGAAACGGTGCTTAATCCGTCTGCCGTGTTATAGATTGCTTTCCCATTTCAAAAATAATATCCCCCCCCCCCAGTTAGTGGTGGTGGTTTCGAAGGACCACTTTTGTCGTTTTCCCCCGAGACACACGCCCACGTGCAGGAAGCTCGGATTGCCATTGTACGTACACACACACACACACACACACACACACACACACACACACACATCTTGTCTCCCGCGCTTTTGGTTTCCCTGTCTACAAAAAAATATCAGAGAGCTGGGAAAAGGACAGGAAAAAAGGGGTAACCAAAACGATCAAAAGTTAGTACTGTAGAAGAAAAGGGTGAAAATGGTTGGGGCTTTCTAGTTAGAAAAAGATAATTTGAGTGGGGAGGGGGTACAACAGAAGTTTATATAAATTATGTATACTACGAAGAGAGGGGTTCCCCCCCCTCCCTATCATAACTTGTGGACAACCAACAAGATTGATAGACCTGCAGGTTCAGAACAGACCGAAGGCAGTGCTTCGTCACACTGTTAAATTACAGATACCACCACCACGACAATATATGGGGACAGTTTCAGAGGGGGACCACATTGGAGTTGGAGCAGGGGTCACTCACTGGGCGTGTGTGGGGGGGAGGTATTTGTGGATTTTCTGCATTGTGCAGGGCGTTGGACTAGATGACCCTGGAGATCCCTTCCAACTCTATGATTCTGTGATTCTATGTGAGAAGCAGTGGCAGTTTGCCATTGGCCACTGGCTTATGTACGTATGAGCCATCGAGTCACTACTGACTTATGGCAATCCCAGCAAGGGGTTTCCAAGGCAAGTGCAAAGCAGAGGTGGTTTGCCACGGCCTTCCTCTGCACAGCCTTTGCGCGGTGGCCTCCCAACTCCCATCCAAGTACCGACCCTGCTCCGCTTCCATGATCTTATGTAGGCTTACCAAGTACCTACCTCACAATACAAGAACTCGTGGGCACTCCATGAAACTGCAGAGCGGTCGGGTTAGAACGGATAAAAGGAAGTACTTCTTCACCCAAAGAGTGATTAACACATGGAATTCACTGCCACAGGAAGTGGTGGGTGCTACAAGCATGGACAGCTTCAAAAGGGAATTAGATAAGCATATGGAGCAGAGGTCCATCAGTGGCTATTAGCCACAAGGTATAGCTAGGGGCTCTGCCCAGCTACGTGCCCAGCGCGCTAGCGTCAAGTCTAGGCGACGGCATGGTGCAGCGGGGGGGTGTTACACCGAGGGATGTTCCGGCCGGGAACCATGTGTCCCCCGCCGATTCGAAGGTAGGTACTTGGTAACCTTAATCTTATGAGATTGGACTATACCTTGCCACCTTTCCCCTGTCACTGGTTTAGGTGGCTGTAAAAGAGGATTAAAGGAATTAATTGTGAGCTGGTCTCTGGATAGAAAGCCATTAGCCACAACAGCTGAATGGAACTTCCATGTACAGTGGCAGTGTATCTCTAAGTACCATGCTGAGGGGTGGCAGCAAGGCAAGGCTTCCTGCCCTATATATAGGTATCTCACAGGAATCCATTTAAGTGCAGCTGGAAAACAGGGCTTGGAATTAGATGGAACTTTATGTCAAATCCAGCCATGTTTTTGTGAATAATTATCCGGATCCTCAGGTTGTTACTGTTACAGTTTTACAAAAAGGAGATGAGAGAAGCAGTAACTGGCTCAATGTCAGATCATATCTGGATGAAGGCTGGATCTTGAGTCTCCTTAGTACCCAGAGATCTCTAACCTAGGGTCTCCAATCTTAGCCTGCGGACAGCTGTAGAATTCTGACACAGCATGGTGGGTGCAGCCACAAAATAGCTACCACAAAATGGCTGCCTGTGGAGGCAGGGCCAGCCACAAAATGGTTGCCTCAGGAGGCAGGGCCAGCCACAAAATGGTTGCCTGTGGAGGCAGGGCC